GGGAGATTTGTCCCCCTTCTTCAGAAAGGCTTGTTAATATGGGCATAACTAACCAGGCATCTCAGGAGAGGACAAAGGCACACTCATTAAAATTAGCTGAAAAAACAACCCATGTAACAGATATCTATCGTAATGATACTTCTGTTGCCTCTCACTGTAATGTCTAAGCAATATGTTCCATAAAGCACTTAAGAACCAAAGTCTGTCGCCAATAGCAAAGGGCTGGTTTCTGTGTTCAGATGCTCACTCTGTGCCTGTTTGCATTCAGGTCCAATGCATTTATTTCCCTTGACATGCTTCTCCTTCCCTCCCCTCCCTCCAAATTAAAGCTCACCTCTGTTTGGAGCCGTCCCTGGTCAGACCTTTTTTTTTTTTGCTGTGGGTAACACAGATATACATGCTGTTTGGGATGTATAAAAATACTGCTGGATGACAAGCCATAAATAATGTGTGTACTGACTCCTGGTAAGATACTGCTGCAGTGATTAATGCATTTATTAACCATGTAGTGCTGTGATTTGTAGAAGCTGGATGATAGTTGCAAGATAGCATTTCTGGGAATAAATCTAGGGCTATATTGTCAGCAAAGGATGGAGATAGAGGGTTTTGGTGGATGGGAAGAGAGTTACTAAGTTTGGGAGGATTTTATGGTTGTTAATAGATGCAGGACAAGAGAAGGCTGGGTTAGGGTATGTTGGAGCAAGGACGTAGGATTGAATTAATCTAGGAGTCATTGGGATTAGAAGGAATCATGGAGGTCCAGAGAGTGCTCTGTCTGGAGGAGAAACCTCTCAGTAAGAAATACTCCTTTTGCCTTTCAGAAAACTACTAGCTCCTCTTCCAGTCCTGATTCTCCTTTCTTTCTACAAAGAAATAAGTAAAATTTTGCTTCTGATCATGAGAGTTTTTTTCTTTTCTGGACATGCAGTTGGTTTCCCTACTGGCCCTTGACTAAGGGCAACGATTCAGTTCGAATATTATAAGCTAAAGGTTGCGAAGACCAAAACAAGGCTGGTGTCTAATGTACAGGGTACTGAAGAGCTCATCAGGAGGTGCTGAATATGATTATCTCTAAATATCATCTGTAGCTTCTGCTATCACAGTGATAAGATTCTCTGTAAAAGCAGATGTTCATTTTTACAGAATATAAAAGCTTAAGTGAGTGCAAGGTTGTTGGCAGTATGGGGGCAGCTTCGTCAGAGTAGCACATATTACTGAATTACAGCTCCCTGCGAAGCCGGGGTGAGTGTCAACCCGTCTTACATAACTTTGTTTTACTGTCAGAGGCATGTCACAGCTCAGTGTGTAAGTCATGAGCAAATGCCATTTTACCTCAGTAGAACAGATCTTGTACCTCTCCCATATATTTAACCAGTTATTTTAAGCTGCTCTTCTTTCACTGTTTTTTTAATTATTATTTTTATCAGTCCAACCCTGCTTATGTTTTCTTCAATGATAAAATTTCCATAGATCTTTTTGTCACCAGATCAGAGCTTTATATTAAAATTTAAAAAAACATATACGTTTTTATACAGACTTCTTAGCCATTTGTGTGTACAGTTTTACTCCTGTAGAATTAGGTACTTCTAGCACATTTGAAGGTACCTCCTTGCCTATATGTGAGGCATGTAGGAGACCTGAGATGGGTTTTGGCAGGAATCTTTGGCATCTTGTGTGACGAACAGCTCTCATTTCCCAAATTTGTTGATGGTGTAGATATTCCCGGTTAGAGTTGTCTGCAGCTGTACGTGATGGGCACCCGTTTCTATTGTTTAAGTTTTTAGGATAATGGAAGGAGTTGTAAGGTAAATATCCAGTGGCTGAGGATATCCTTCATAATTCAAGTGAAGTCTGGTTGTATTTCCACCAAGGCTATCAGCGTAACCACCAAGCCCTGATTTTTTACCTCTGATAAGGTGTTCACTCACTGTAGCACAGACACAGCAGTCATTTCTGCCCGGGAGTAGGGCAGGAAGAATTTTCCCTTTAGGTTGTAATCACAGTACATACTTTCTATAGCACTCTTCAACACATAGGTGGGGTTTTTTTTCCATTACTTGTGATATAGTGATGCTCTGTTGTATTATAGTAGTGCAGCCTATGCCAGCATTTCCATTATAACCCATTTTTACAGGTTTATAACTCACGAGTAAAAACGTACTCTTCCAATTTGAAACTTGGCATATAATGTCTCATCTCATCCTCAGAATGATAGTTTTTTCTTTCCCTCCACCTTCCTCCCCCTGCAAAGAGGTTGTATTTTTGCTGTATTTTTAAATGGAAGATACTGTCCTTTCTGTTTTGATAAGAGAAAAGCCTGTCTGTTTATTAAAATTACTTTTAAATTCTAAGAAAGGAGGATTTTTATAATGGAGGATGCATGTGAATAAGTGTTGTTGATGTTAGAATGACTACATTAAGTATATGGATACAGAGAAGTATTAGTTTCCAAACGAAAGCTAGGCAATATTGACCAAAATTATTGAAAAGCTTTTTTTATGGTGATTTTGTTTCTAGCTGTTGATTTTATCCTTAAAAAAGTATTCTCAATGGTAAATATGTTTTAGCTGTTGCACTCTTTTGTTTATTGGGCTGAGTGAAGACTGCATGTCGACAAAATTGTGATATTTTTCTTCTTTCTCATTTGAGCAACACAGTGCAATAGGGACATAAATTCTGACTTGGATGTTGAGACAAGCTACCAAGTCTTGTGGTTACCAAGACATGGTTAGCACAGTGTTGTGTATCCAAAGCAGGTGTAAGCAGCAAAGCACAGTGTTTCCAATAGACAGATGGTTTATTGGGCTGAGTGAAGACTGCATGTCGACAAAATTGTGATATTTTTCTTCTTTCTCATTTGAGCAACACAGTGCAATAGGGACATAAATTCTGACTTGGATGTTGAGACAAGCTACCAAGTCTTGTGGTTACCAAGACATGGTTAGCACAGTGTTGTGTATCCAAAGCAGGTGTAAGCAGCAATGCACAGTGTTTGTTTCCAATAGACAGATGCTGGTGTGGACTGAGAAATTTATCACTGAATGACAAAATAAGAAATAAAAGGCTTGTATGAGCCTTACGGTTTACAGTGTCAAAATCTCAACATCTGAACCTGAGGCCTCCTCTGAAGCCTCACATTCTAATTCAATCTAGTATGGGTGTTGAGGTTGTAAGAAAATCAGGATTGAAATCCAATTTTTCCTTCTCTACCCATCTCCCTGGAGGCAGCCATTTAGGAGTTGAAATCTACCCAGTTGCCATTAAAGGCAGTTTCCTAACCTCTCTGAGTACCACCACCACTGCAAACATCCAGGAAGGCTTTGCTGTGATGCTTCCTGTTGTAGAGAATTTACTTCCAGGCATTTCTTTTTCCATTTAGATAGTTAAATTTATGCTTACCATAACCACTTTAATGGTACTAATTAGAAGAAAGGGTATGTAAGAGAGATTTCACGGAGGGTCTTTATTAATGAATTCAGCTATTATTTTGTAATATATTTGAAAACTATAAACATATATACAGTATGCATTCTTACGATAGCTATGCTGTCTTTGTCTTAAACCCCAGCTCATTTGGTTTATCAGTTGTCTCTAATATATCTATTTATACATACAAAAATATCATAAAAAGCAGGGAATGTGCTTTCTAATGAGAAGTTCAGTTCCTTCATTTGGATTCTAAAATCAGTAATTAGGCCAAAGAATATTTTATATCCATAGGCAGCACCAATGGCTCCCAGATATAAAATAAAATAGCTGTATGTGGAACTGCTTGTTTTGAGAGTATAAAATCAGAATGCTCAGCACTTCCTTGCATCAGCTTCAGTTCAGTCCGTCTCTGCCAAAACCAGTGGGATTCTGCAGTGTAAAATGAATGCAACACAGTGACATGCAGAACTTACTTTTGTTGGACTTGCAATTTGCAAAAATTATCATACATGCTCAGTGTAGTTGGTAGTTTCAGTGTGCAAGTCCAAGTTTTCTGGCATAAGAATTGATTGTATATTAAACACTGGTAACTCCTATAAAAGAGTGCTGTTTATGTTTCTGGAATATACAAAGAAAGAAATGATATTGAGAATCACCACAGCACCATTTATTGAAAATATCTTCAGCACCATGGGGATTGCTGTTGCTATTATAGAAGAGCAGAAAACTCCCAGCCCAGTCATGTTCACTTGAGCAATGGAAGTATTAAACACCTTACACTGCTAGACAGAGTGCACACCATTGCTTTCATTTTGTATGAGCCTGCCACCAGAAATGTTTCTTGCTTGAGTCAGTGTGGAGAGCACAGCACACGGTAATAGCAGCAGATGGATGCTCATAGTAAGATCTGGCTGAAGATATAACAGATTCATTTTTAGTCATGATCATCTAAAATATTCCTGTATTTGATAATATTCCATGTGCAATAATCGGTGGACACAGTGTAAACTAACAGCTCAATTTGCATTACAGGTACATATTTTGAAAGATATTAAATGTTCTTTTAGTAACTTTCTAGAAGAGACTCTGGTGCAGCCATGCAATGTGTTAAAATTATATTTTCATAGTAATACAAAGATGAATTGCAAGAATCATTAAGGATAAAATATTCCTGTTGTATAATTTCTTAAAAGTGAGAAATACGAAAGATTTTTTTTGTTAAAATGTAGTGGTATTACTGTAATTATTAACTGTCATATTTAATGTCTTCTCATGAACATCCAGCCCCATTTTTAAGGGGCCACAGAACATAACATGTTTTCTGCAGCTGATGGCGCTCATCATTGTAATTACTAAGTACCCTTTGCTGACTGAAGTTTTGCTGTAAATTCAAATCAGAATGTGAATGTTATTGGAAAACATGCAGTTACATTTGGAGAGTTTATTTGCTAATCATGTGCAAATCACTGTCAAAATTATAGGTGTGTGACAACCCATGCAAATTTATCTAATTGTTTTGTGCTGTTGTACGTATAAGTTGTACAGGGAATAAATTCTGCATTTGTTCATAGGCACAGAAGAAGCGGAAATCCAATGAATCTGTAGATACAGAGCTCTGTCTTAATGAGGTAAGTGTGGGTCCTGTATATTTCACAGCACAAGTGTCTTTACATAATATAAAATGTTCAAAGTCTGTCAAGATTAGAACAGCCTTACCTCACATTAAAGTCTTGTTAGTATTACTGTGTTTGGATACCATCATAAAGAATGATCTTACTCAGAAATCTGGAGCTGGGGTCACAGTGGCCTCTGCTGACTCTATATTTTAGTAGCTGTGTAGTACATGTTTAAGCAGATCCCATGCTGATGACCATTGCACCTAACAAGTTAATAGTCTGCAGGAACACAGGATGATATGGCTTTTAACAAATATACAGAAACTTACTGGACATCAATCTGTGGCTCACAAAAAGGACCAGTTTAGGGCATGAGATGGTGTTCATATCAGGAGATGTGGTGCTCCTACATCAGGAGACACACTGACAGCGCCAAGAGACATGAACCTCCCAGTGCTGTTTGAGTAGGCTGCTCATCCTGACCTCCAAGGTCCCATTTCAGGCATAAACATTACATCAGTTTCCATGTCTGTCAGTCCATATCCTTTGTACTGAGTCTCTCAGAAAGCTTAATAATTAGTGATGTACATAAATTAATTTTCACAGTGTGGAAGCGCATAGCCTAGGAATTGGATCAAGCCCAGCGTAAACCACGACACTGATGTGACCCTGTCTTTCAGGTTCTCCTTCACCAGTCCAGATTTGCACGGTTCTACTAAACAATGACAATTCTATAGCCCATTCCTAATTCTTTAGATTCCATTAAGAATTTCTGGTAGATACTTGAATGAAGTCGAATAACATATGAGGGAACAATGCAGTAACATTAACAGATCTGTTGACCTCTTGTGCTGGCTAAAAGACCTTTCACAAGAAGGCCCTAGTAACTGTATCTTACCGTGAGAACTGCTGGTCCATTTGATCTCATACTCTGTCCATCACAGTTTACAAAGAACAGATGCCCAGGGCTGAGTGTAAGAAAGCACATTGTGATAAGTCAGTCAGTCCCCCAATGCCTCTACTGCCTCCAGAAGTTTACATCTCAAGGCCTTCCAGTTGGCCAGACCTAGCAGGTGACAGCCAAGTGAGAGAATGGCCTGGAGATTTATCCATGAGTGTTTGCCTGGCTCTGTAGATGGTCATTCCTGTGGAAACTGATGCTTTATTCTCATTCCTTGTATCTGCACTTCTGGATACATCTAACTTCTACCTTGCTCCATTGCTTCTCCAGGATGGGGGGAGGCTTGTCCTCTGTCTAAGATCAAAGCAACTTTGATGGAGTAGGTTGGACCTTATGACCTTAAAGGTCCCTTCTAATCTAAATCGTTCTGATTCTGATTTTTTTTTTTTAATGAGGATGATAAACAATGAGAAGTAGTCTTGTTGCACCTCCTTCTTAAACAGCTCACTATAATCTACCAAGTAGCGGTTGCATAAACATACACTTTAATTATTGGTAGCAAAGAAGACAAGGTATGTAAATAATACAGCAATTAGGGGAAAAAAGGCATGAGAAAAGGTAATTTTTCATAAAATAGAAAGCTCCATTTTTTCTAATCCCATGGATTAGATTTTATTTGTTATCCAGATGTAACTTGTTATCAAAGTTGTTCTGTTGACTGTGCGGAAGTTGCAGTTTCTCTCTGGGTCCTGTATTTGCCCTCTTTTTTTTTTTTTTTAATAAACTGGCATGATAAACACAGCTAAAAAACCTGCTGTACTTAACAAGGGTGAGTTTACACATGGAACCACTTCTAAAGCTGGGAATTTTTAATACTGTTGTCTTTTTCTTTTTTTTTTAAGTCGTGTTCTACTGGTGGTTTTATCCTTTAAACTGACTTGAAAATGCTGTCATTTTAACATCTGTTTTTATGCCTTTTGTATCTTTTCATCTGTGACAGCGATATACAGGTAACAGTGGAGGGTGGGACACGAACAAGCAAAAGATTAATCTCATGATGTATATTTAAATATTTTTGCTATGAATAAGTGTAGTGGTGACCAAGGAAAGTATTGTGTCTTGCAGAATGCTATTGGGAAGGACAACACAGCAGGAGTCTCCACCAGTCACATATCTGCAGAGAATTCCCTCGCTCTTCCTCGAAGCTTCTACCTAAGCACACCACTCACTCTGATGACACTTGCACTCTCACTCTGTTTGTTCCTAAGCTCATCAGTCATCTTGTAGCTGCATTACAAAAAGGACGTGTTTAAAAAAAAAAATCAATCTGTTTCCTGTCCTCTGTTGTTTATCTGGAATTCCAGGTCTGGGAGCTAAGCTGAGGCACTCCTGCTATAGAACAGTTTCAGTCAGCTGGAATTTTTTTTTTTTTTCTCTCTCTCTCTCTAAAAAAGCTTCTTGTGATATTTAGAGGCTTTGTGAAATATTGGTGCAGTGCTACATTCCAAACCCAAAAAGCTTTTGGGCATGCAGTGTTTTAAAGAGACAGAGTGTAAATTTGCCTGTAAAGCAACCTGGTTGGATTATTTTAATAATCATTATGTTGATTGTGGCTTTTACCTGAGAAGGAGGATAGCAGTTTTCTTAAGATCCTATTTATCTCATTGTATGGTTTTGATTTTCAAATTGGTTGAACTTCAGACTATCAGGGATGCCAGGCTTTTGTCTAACGGTGAATGTTCTAGGGAGTGGACTTCTTGAAACTTCATTTGATAAATTGCTACTGATGTTAAACTCTTTCAGTGTATTAGCATTTTCCTCTTTAAATGTTTCCTCTTTAAATCACTTACAGTAGTAAGTGATAGGCTTTTGTCTAACGGTGAATGTTCTAGGGAGTGGACTTCTTGAAACTTCATTTGATAAATTGCTACTGATGTTAAACTCTTTCAGTGTATTAGCATTTTCCTCTTTAAATGTTTACGTACTGTAAGTGATTCTGCGTTCCCTGATGAGAAGCCATTATAATGCGCGTACAGGTGTAATGTACCTTTTTCAGTCAGATTCTCATAGAGTGTGGCACAGAACTTTCTAACAGTACATTTATCTTTTAATTATAATCGTCTAGCCTTAACAAAGGTGAAGATTCTTTTAATTAACAAGAAGCAGCTATTGTTGAAAGCTTGATAAAGATACATTTCTTTAAATTTGAGGATAAGCAGTAGAGACACATTTTGCTACAGGGTTTCAGCTGTACAGTCGATGGTCTTCTATGCTTCCATTGTGATAATATAGTCCAGTTATTATACTGTTTAATAAAATTACGTACAATTTATTTGCTCTACTAAACCAGCATTATCTGTTTATACATAGCTGATAATGTCAGCTCAAAAATGTTACAGGATCTTCATGCCTTACTTCTCTTATCACAACACTGTAGAGGGACAAAAGGTAGTAGGATATCATTTAAACTATGTTTTGTTTCTTAGATGGCTCAGATCAACACAGCGGGATGGTTGATCCACTTACAAGCCAGTATCCTGCACGCTCACCCATGTGACAAGCTTTTCTCACCCTGGTAGTTCCTATGGCAGACCTTGGCAGTGCACACATGATGAACTGTTTGCAAGACCAGTTCCATAAATTTTTTTAATGGTTTGGATGGCAATACTGCCAGTATACTTGATTCGATCGGTTTGGTTTTCATTCAGTGACATTGACAGCCTGTGCTGGCTCATGATGGTTTTCTGCGGTATCTAGAAGGAATTCTTTAAAGCTTTAAATGTCATCAAATAGGCAGCATTTCTCCTAAGGGCTGTCTTTATACCTTACTGTGATGGCTTGTTGACTGTTACAAGCAGTTATGTCGAAATGATCAACAGTAATCAGTTTTTGTTTCTACTGAAAGTAGAAGATAACTTCACCAGGCAAGGAGTTCATCATGTTGAATTTACAGATTTACATTGAAATTTACACAATTATGTCCAGGCCTGCTCTGAAATGTCCAGATCAGTTATTTGCAATACAGCTATAAAGTAAAAATTACTAGTTTAGGAACTGAGGTTTGGGAATGCGGAAAATACACATCTTACTAGAGATTATTAACCTATTGACAAGTTCATTTTTTGAGCTTTTCCTTAGCTAATAATAAATACTTTCATAAATTCTGAAATTCACTTATGTACTCTTGATTATGGTAAAATAATATGGCTCTCAAAGCACTGTGTGTGTGATAGAATTCTAGGGTACTGTGTGCCACTGAACATAACAAATTAGACAATATTACTCTTTAATTCTGTACTGATAAGAAATTGCAAATTACTTTCAAAGGCATCAGAGCTGCTTTCAGAGAAGAAGTATATAGCACATCATTACCAGTAAAGCCCATGTGGTTCCTGTTGCTCTTCTTGTAGAAGCTAATCAAATTATTGAAAACTAGTGACAACAGAAAAAAGATTACGAGATTCATGATTTAAAAAAATAAATCAAATTATTTTATGTCAAAAGGAGTTGATAATATAAACTATTGAAATGCTAATGAACACAGCATTATAATTCAAAAGGCTGACATTATCCAATTAAAAATATTTTCAAAACAAATTCATAAACATTACAATTATTAAATCCATCTTTGATCCACAAAGCTTTCTTTAAAATATCATTTGTATTCGGCACATTAAACATTTTAAGGAGCATCAGGAATTTTAATAACCTCCCAGTATAGTACATACTTTTTGAAGATTTTTTACATTTTGCTTGATTCCAGTATCTCTATTACATTTAATATCAATTATTAAAGCTTTGACACTGTGTGATCCAGAATAAAAGCTATTGATCACTTATACTGTAAACAACAACCTAATTAGGTTCTGATTAAAAAAGAAATTGCTAGTTATCTTGATTCAATGAGAGTTACCTTTGGAAATACAATTATATATGCAATAGAGGAAGAAATGATGTTTTATACAGCTAGCCATGTTACCATAAACAAAACAGAGCACTCAAGCTTTTTTTACCTGTGCAAATTAAAAACATACTGAGTTCTTAATTACAAAAAATTATTTGCTTATTAAACAGGCAAGAGGGAAAAAAACCCTAAGAGCCTGACAATTAATGAGAGTTTTACAGGCATCACCATGCAAATATCGGAGGATTTTTAGAAGTTGGATGTGGTATGGATGATGTCAATTTAGCATGGTGACCTTGTCAATGCAGTCATTTGCTACAGTGTGGAAGTACGCAAGTTGTTTAATTTTTTCAGTCACTAAAATGCCATGTGTTGAGTGCTCAGTAAACAAGCTTAGGCTGGGCTTTATATTTTCCTTTAATATGTTAATTTTATCAATATAACAGTGATATTGGAGCTGTCCAAATACAGGAAGTACATACAGATGATCTGCTGTTTAAATTGTAAATTTAACCAATTCAGTTGTGTGTAAATTAAATCATGGGCTACCATAAACATATACTAATCATCTTTTTCATTTAACATAATGGAACAGACATTGTCATTAGCGTTATTAGGAGTGTGTATACTCTGCCATGTCAAATAACCCGATTATTGTGGTTATGTTTCTTCTTAAAAGTAGTACACACAAAGATAAAATTCAGACTGAATTGAAATATATGGCTGAGGTTTTGCGCTATTTAATATTAATACTAATTCCACAAACTAGTCCAATGAAAGAGACACTGAATCTTTCAGATATTAGTAAAAGTAATAGCAGTTGAGGCTTTCCCCTGCCCCAGTGCAGGCAGTGACATCCACCGACCAGCAGCAGCCCTACAGGAGTGCCTGCGCAGTGATTTGGTCACTAATGAGGAGTGCAGCCCTCCTTCCATTGACTCCGCTCCCTAAGGTCATGGCTGCTTCAAGAGAATGGGGAGGGAGGTACCGAGCACAGAGCAGGGGCTGTCCGTCCGTCACCACTGGGGCACTGGCTACTTTCCATTCAACAGCTTCATTCCCACTGTGTCATTAGGAAGAATTAGGAGGAACAGGAATTCTTAATAATTTCAAAGCATTGCGTAGACAGACTCTGCCTGGAGATGTGTTCCCAACCTTTTTTTTTTAAAATGAGATGACATCTCTAAGACCCAACCTATTGACTGTGAAGCTGTTGGCAATTTGTGGGATGTAACATGAAAATATACACCTTTGCTAACCCTGTGCTTTTAGGCTGGAGATGAAGAAAACAGAGGATTCACCTTGAAATTTCAATTCAATTCTAATTTGTGATTGTTGGCTTAATCACAACAATATTTCCACAGAGGAGAGATGGTGGGAAACCAGTGAAGAAGAGCAAATCTCAGAGCAGCTCCCTGAAGGGACGTACGTCTTGTGTACGTCAGGTGACAGGAGGGGTGTCTCACACTTAGCACTGGGACTTACTGAAACAAAAGGGCTGGGTTTTGCTAGGAACAGCAGCTCCTTTGGAAGCAAGCAGTAAAAGGTGGAAGAATGAGCAGCTATTTGTACAGCAATTATAACTTTCTTTTGTAAAATGCAATTGTTTGTTGTACGTCAGGTGACAGGAGGGGTGTCACACTTAGCACTGGAACTTAGAAACAAAAGGGCTGGGTTTTCCTAGGAACAGCAGCTCCTTCGGAAGCAAGCAGTAAAAGGTGAAAGAATGAGCAGCTATTTGTACAGAAATTATAACTTTCTTTTATAAAATGCAATTGTTTGTCCTCAACACCAAGGTGGATCTACCTCACAGAAAAATGTGTGTCCACTGATGGGACTTCTGCATTAAAACTGTTCTGTGCTGAAGAGGCCCCCAAGGTTGTTTTATACCCATAAGGTTAGTCAGATTCTACCTGATGTCCCTGACATCAAATAGAAATATATTTGCTTCTGATGAACTTGGCAGAGAAATTAATCCAGTGACTTGTTTAATATTTCTCATCTTTAAATATTTGCTTTTTCTTACCAGCTCAGTTCCTTCTATGACATTTCAATTATTGGCTACTTCAGCCTCTCCTTTGACTTCAGAAGGTCGTTTTCTCCATACTCTACAGTAATCCACTTTATAGATTTGCCTCAGTGTTGTGGTTGGGGTGGGTTTTTTTATTTTGGGGTTTTTTTTTGTTTGTTTTGTTTGCTTGGTTGTTTTTTTTTAATTACAGCCTTCGCTTCTGAGAAAAAAATGTGATCAGGGATGTGTCACTAGTGAATGATCACCACCTTTACAAGGGGAGGAAATTGCAAGTTCCTGTTTTATCTGTTTAGTACTGGTTTGACTAGCACAAGCTAAAACATGATGTTTCTATTCCCCAGACAGAATTTAAAATTTAGTTTGGTACTGAACAAGAATTAAAGAGTTTTGAACTCTAACAATCTTTTAAAAATACTTAAATACATCTAATATATTTTCCATTTGGAATTTCAGTCAAATAGATAAAGTCTCACTAAGCAGTATTTTTTTTCAACAGTAAGAAGTTTCATTTGGAAACTTTGATGGGCCCATGGTTAAGGTAAAATCAGGGAGGGTGATAAATTCCCATTTGTAAATCAATATTATCTTGACTTTCATCCACCCTTATTCCATGTTTTCTTCCTCGGAGTGTGTTTTCCTTCAGGGGATGGTTATGCTTAATAGATACATATTAGATATGGTCAACTCAATAATCAGAAGCCATGTCCTGCAAGTCCTACTTAGGTGCTCCACCTCTCATTCATAAAATGAGATCATTCATAAAAGCCAGAGCAACAAATTCAAGATGTGGCCAAAAAATTATCTGAAGTTTAAAAGAGCACAGAGTCAACAAATTTTTCAGCAGCATTTCTTATCAATATAGACTGTGGTATTTTAAATTGTTACCACCTAGACTAGTCACTGAAGTTCTCTGAGCACATTGAACCAGAGTAGCTGCAGTTTCTGCTGGTTTACCTTTGCCGTGTGCCAATGACGGGACTTTGCCATGCAGACACTCAGAGCTAACTGCTGCCTGGGCTACAGCAGCCAAACCTGATGCCACTTCAGCAAGGGTTCCCCTTAGCCCACTTTCCCTGTTTTTAATGATTCCAACACACCTTAATTCTTTTGCACTACTTTCTAATCTGTCAAAAGGAGAATTTCCTAGAATCTAAGAGACAAACACTCACAGGTT